AAGGCAAAGTGATTATCAGAGTGTGGTGAGAGGGACTCAGGTGGATTAATGAAGCAGCGGGCCCTGGCAGGGCAGCCTGCTCGCTCACCAAACTCACTTCATGAAAACTTATTGCTCAGAAAACATTGTGAACTGACTAATTCATAAGTATTTAATGCCCCCGCCTAGGAGCAGCCCAGTTTCTGAGATTAATTGCCTCCAGGACAGCGGAGGCCAGGTTGTCTTCTTTCTGCTCCCTGTGCTTCTCCGGCCAGCCTGCCCCAAGGCCGCTCTCACCAAGTACCCACAGGTGGTTTCCCTTCCCTGCCCTGCTGGCTGAGGAGCAGCCTGGCCCTGCAGCATCATCCCTGGAAGCTGTACTCAGGATGCTTCCAGGCCATCTCGCCAGCCCCTCAGCCCCTGCCCAGCCAGCCAGACACCCCAAGTCAGAAAGGGGAAGAAGCCTGGAGGAGGGACAGAGAGGAGCCAGAGAGAAACACAGGAGACAGACAGAGAGGAGAAGGGAGACAGTAAGGGTAGAAGGAAGGAGAAAAAGAGGGAGCAAGGGAGGGAGGTAGGGAGGAAGGGAGGGAGGGAGGGAGGGAGGGGAAGAGAGGGAGGGAAAGGGGGTGAAGAAGTGGCCTGGGAGAGCATGTGAGTGAGGCCCAGTCTTGGCTCTCCCAGTGGGATGTCGCCCTGCCTTGGCCTTGGGAGGCACCAGTCTAGGACCACACACAGGACGAACCTACAGGCCTATGGAGCAGACACTTCCAGTGCTTCAGAGGGAGGCAGGCCAGCTGACTGCCCTCCCATTGGGGTGGGCAGGAACAAAAGGAGACACCAGCATGCAGACTCACTCCCATGAGTGTCTGGCCCTGTGAAGTCTTTATTTTCACAACCCCTCCTCCTCCCCTTGGGTCTCCATGGGGGCTAGTCTCCATTTGTCCCTGCCCCACAGCTCTGTTCCCCTGAGATTAGTTTCTAGGATTGCACCCTCTTAGGCTCCTTTGCTGATTTCTGAGGGGGGCAGTCAGCCAGAGAGAGGCCCAGATGAGGTGAGAAGGTGAAGGAAACACCTTGTATGTTGCTGGCAGTCCCTGTACCCTCTATGACCACAGCACCTCCTGCAGGGGTCTGGTTCTTCACAGGTCCTCATAGCCCTGTTCCTCCCCACCCCTTCAGGCCCAGAGTGGTAGCAGCTTTCACCTTGCTACTTTCTAGGGGCTGCAGCATCCTTCCTTCCATCCCTCCCTCCCACTCCTGCCCCTCAGGAGGAGCCACTGCACTCAGTTCCCTGGCTTGAACCATGGGGCAAACCCTTCCTGTGGGGTGCTGACAGGCAGCTGACAACCTCGCCTCTCACTTGCTCTTCCTTTTGGCCCCTCAGAGAAGAGGAAGAGCTGCCACATCCAGGCGGGTGGCCTGGGATAGGAAAGAAAGTGGCTTTGGAGATTAGGCAGGCCTGGTACCAACAGCCATGGGACTTCGGGCCAGTCCTTTACATTCTCTGAGCTTCAGTTTCCTCCTCTGTAAGCTGGAAGTAATGGGAGCCAGTTTCCTCAGGACATGCGAAGGTGAAATGAAACCCTCTGCACACTCAGAGTCCTCATTCTTTCTAGAGACCTAGCATTCACCCTCCCCACCCCGTTAGCTCCACAGAATTCCTCCTGCACCCTCTACATCCCAACAGGCTGAGATCTTTCCACAGTAGCCCAAGGGATCTCTGGATCCCACACCCTCTGACCCAGATCTCAAAGCCACAAAAGACAAATGACTGCCGTGGTTCCTGATGATGGCCTCAGACCACAGGGAGCCTGCTGACCCCTCAGCCCCAGAAGTAGAGATTGCTCCTGAGCCTACCCTGTAGGGACCCCCTACCCCAATTCAAGGAGCTCACAGAATGAAGGAAGGGGACACGAGTATGTCTGCCTCAGCTTTCAGCCTTTCTCCCCACTTCTTCTGTGTCCCCCATCAGGCAGTCTGAGAGTAATACAAGTGGCTGATATGTTGACACTTCCTCTTTGCCCATGCAGTGGCAGAACAGCAAAGACACAAAGCTCTTGGACCTTAGCTCAGACAGCCTGGGTTCCCATCTGAACAGAGGCTACATCAAAGGTGCACCATGTGCACTTGAGCCAGCTGCTCAGAACTCAACATCAGTGCCTGTCAGCCCTGCCAAGGGACTCTGAACCAGCCTCAGTATCCAGAAAAGCCATCCAGGCTACTTTTAAATAGTAAAAGCAATCTGACTAATGACACAGAACTGGTTGCTAATTTCTCTTATACCATTAAAAATGTATTTACCAAGTGTCTACTATGTGCCATGCACTGTAATGGTTGTAAGGTAAGAGGAAAAGCTAACAGAGACCTGACCATGCACTATGTATGTCTTGCATTGCCAGGACTGACCAGCAAACCTTGAGCAGTGAATGAATGGATTACTCTGACACAATCTTTGCTGTGAAAGAGAGGCTAAGGGACAGCCTGGCCCAAGTGATGGGGCAGCCTCATTAGGACTTCATTGGAATTTTTATCTTTAGATACAATCAGTAGGGTGAGCAATCTTGAGAGTATACATGGGCATCCCTGAATTAAGCATAAGGATTCCAGTAAATACTCAGAGGTCTGCACATACACAGACGTAGTTGGGAAGGTCAAGGGATAATTAGGGGCACTTCCTTCGACACTCCCCTAAGTTGGAATTCTGATAAATAGGGCAGGCAGCCTTCCACACACTTCCCCTTTATCAGAATGTCCTCCTTACAAACTTTTCAACCTAGTCTCGTGTGCTCCCCAACATTGCTTGAGAGTTTTATCTATTTCCTAAGAGCAATGGCAGGCTATTAAACTGTTTGGGGGAGAGATTTGTGTATTCAAATTTGCATTTTGAAAGAATTCCTATAATTGCAGCATGAAGAACATATGGTGGAACTAGACGGGTCATAGAGATCACTAAGGGAGGGGAGGACTTACAGAAATCAGATGGAACTCTGTGGTGACCATGGGGACTAGTGATGGAGATATAAGAAATGGAATTGGTGTTGAAGGAGAAGGATGAAGAAGTGTGGAGAATGGTGTGAATAATATTGGAGAAGTAAAATTGATAGGGTTCAGTAAGGAATTTAAATCAAAAGGGTATTTGGAGAGAGAAGAAAGGGCAAGGGTTTTTGCACTGTGAAGCTGGTGGACTGTGTTACCATTTAGTGAGGTAAGAAACCCTGGAAGCAGGACCAGCTTTAGGGACCATAGTAGAAGGAGAGAGGTCATGGCTCTGATTTTTAATATACTAAGTTTGAGATGATGTTGAAGTATTCTTGAAAAATTTCAAGTGGACAGTGAGATACATGAGCATAGTGCTAAAAAAAAAAAGAAAGGCAAGTTCAGTGACAATTGAGAAGATAGTTCAAGCCAAGATTGTGGATGAAATCTGCTGAGAAAAGAGTTTAATGAGGAGAGAAGAGGTCCATGCTGTGAGACATCCTAAAATGTAAGGGCAGATAGAGAAGGGGGAAGTTTTGAAGGAGCAGAGAAGCAGTCATATAAGAGGTAGGAAGAAAGTCTGATAATTATTGCATCTGAAGCCAAGAGGCTTATATAAAGAATGAAAGTGCAGTGTTATGGGAGATGAGGACTGAAAAGTGTCCACCAGATGTAGCAACATGGAGGTCACTGGTGCCTTAGCAAGAGTTATTTTAGGAAGACTAGTGGGGCTAGAAAATATTTCATTAAAAATTTACTCATCATCTACTCCCTCTAAGGCTCCTTGGTCTGGGTATACTGGGTATCCTGTGGTACCAGGTAGATCTACTCACCACATCCTTTTGGCCCCCTACCTTCCAGGAACATGATAGACTTCTGCTAGTTGGTTGATGAGGCCATGTGACTAGTTCTGGCCAATAAGTTATGAGCAGAAGTCATTTCCATGTTGAGCAGGTAAGAGATGCACGAGGCTGGTGTGGGACTGGCAAGGTTCCAGGTGGTAGCTGTTCTCTCAGCCTGAGCCTCGAGTTATCATGATGAGCAAGTCTCCTTGCCATCTTCCTTGGCAGTGCTCTACATTCAGCTCAATATTCTGTAGACATCACACTAATAGAGAAGTTTAGTGAGACATTCAAGGACCTTAATGAGAATGCAAAATAAATAAATAAATAAATAAATAAATAAATAAATAAATATTAAAAAACGGAAAAGGACAGAAATTAAGCATACACTGTCTGAAATAAAGAATATACAGAAACTCAACTGTAGATCAAAATAACCCAAGAATCAAACCAAAGATCTGAAACCTGAGGAAACAAAAAACACCTAACCAGGAAAACAAAAAGAAAAAATAATCCAAAAATATGAAGATAGTGTAAGGAGCCTCTGGGACAACTTTAAGTGTATAAACATCTGAATTTTGGGGGTGCCAGAAGAAGAGATAGAGCAAAATATTGAAAACCTATTAAAAGAAATAATGACAGAAAACTTTCCCTCCCTGGTGAAAGAAGGCGCACAGAACCCCAAACAAGAGGAATCCAAAGAGGACCACACCAAGACACATCATAATTAAAATGCCAAGGGCAAAAGACAAAGAGAGAATCTTGAAAGCAAGAGAAAAACAGTTACCTACAAGGGAGTACCCATACGACTGTCAGCTGATTTCTCAACAGAAACTATGTAGGCCAGAATGGAGTGGCAAGAAATATTCAAAGTGATGAACAGCAAGAACCTACAGCCAACAAAACTATCATTCAGAATTGAAGGTCAGATAAAGACCTTCACAGACAAGAAAAAGCTAAAGAAGTCCATCACTTTGGTCCATCACCACCAAACCAGGATTACATGAAATGCTGAAAGGTATTATTTAAGAAGAGGAAGAAGAAAAAAGTAAAGATAAAATTATGAACAGCAAAATGACATCAAATGCAAACCTATCAACAAGTGAATCTAGGCGCGCTGCCGCGCCGCCCGCGCTCCCCGGGGCAACGCGGAGCCCGGCGCTGAGCCCTGTGCGCACGCCTGCAGCGTGGAGCTGGACGAGCGCGAGTCCTGCGCCAGCGAGTTCGCAGTGAACGGCATCGTGCACGATGTGGACGTGGTGGGCCCGGGCATCCAGCTGGTGACGCTGCTGGTGGACCGGGACGGGCTGTACAAGATGAACCGCCTGTACATCACCCCGGACGGCTTTTTCTTCCGCGTCCACCTCTTAGCCCTGGACTCCTCCAGCTGCAACAAGACATGCCCAGAGTTGAAACCCGGCAGCAGGTATATTGTGATGGGCCACATCTACCATAAGAGGCGGCAGCTCCCTACAGCTCTGCTCCAGGTCCTAAGAGGGCGGCTCCGGCCAGGAGATGGACTGCTCCAGAGCAGCAGCAGCTACGTGAAAAGGTTTAACCGAAAAAGGGATGTGCAAGTTCAAGGTGCAATTCACACCCAATGCATTTGAACTTACCATCCCAGCATGTCTGGATCATAAGAGACTTGGAATTGATTAAGACAGGAGAGGTCTATCTTCATGTAATCATGTAATCCCTGCCCCTAAAAACCTGTGTTTTGTGTGAAGGGCCATTGTAATGGGACCTTCCTTTACAATAGGGCACATGGCTCTTTTTTATGAACTAGTTGCATAGTTCCAACTCTAATCGTGAAGTTTGTCACCTTCTTATTTACAATATGCTTCTTAAATGTATGCTTCTGAACTCTGTGGCAGAGTTATTCTTAGTGCTAGTCATGCACCTGGCTACTGACCTGTCCCATTAACAGATCACTGCTTAATGCTGTTTATTTTTAATTATTTTAATTTAAATACATTCTCAGTAGAAATCGTTCACACAAAAAAAAAACATTTCCTTGATTTTATATACAACATTGAATAGTTTATATCACGTATCAAACCAAATGGCATACCTACAGCATCACATTTTAAGTTCTGTACATAACAGTAAGTGCACTAGTCAAAGACATGTATGGTGTCATATAGATCAAACATATGAGTCAGAGCCCCAAGACACGTTATGAAGTTTTACACTTAAAGAATATTAAAGGGCTTAATTCAAGCAAAATATTACTCAAACAAGTGTTTCTGATGTACCAAAGTGTAAGATAGCTTATTTTCATGCCTCCCTGCTCCTAAAAACCTATGTTTTGTGCAGAAACTGTGAGCTACCCCAATGATAAACATAGTCAGGGTGTATCTGATGTCATTTTTCTATTAAGACCAAATATCAAGTTTGTTTAGTAAAGCAGTAAACCTTGCCTTGAAATCAGAAAAAAAAAACACACAAAAAAACACACAAGTGAATCTAAAAATCAAGTGAATAAAAAAATCTGATGAACAGAACGGACTGATGAATATAATATAATCAGGGACACAGAAAGGGAGCAGACTGACAATTCTCAGTGGAAAGGGTGTGTGAAAGGTGTGGGAAGAGATTGGACAAAAATGTTACACCTATGGATGAAGACACTGGCAGAGGGTAAGGGCATGGGGTGGGATGGAAAATCAGGTGGAGGGGAGCTATGGGGGGGAAAAAGAGGAACACCTGTAATAATCTGAATATTCATTTTCTAAAAAAGAAAAGAAACATCAATGATGAGAGAGAATCACTGATCAGCTGCTTCCTGAAAACTCCCTACTGAGCATCTAGTCAACAACCCTGGTATGTGCTCTTGACCAGAATCAAGCCCGAGGCCCTTCAGTCCACAGGGTGATTCTCTATCCACTGAGCCAAACCAACTACAGCTCCATCCTACTTCCACCCTTGTTTTCCTGGAGACATTTCCTAAGTCCAAGCTCAAGGGTCCTCCATGTGCATTGCACTCTGCATATTTCTGGTAAAGCACTATACTGGATAGCATTCATCTGCTGACATGACAGCCAGCCCACCAGTCCAAGATTCATGCATTCTTCTTCCTCTCTAGCACTGTCTTCTGGCCCCCATGAGGTACCCAATAGAGATGAAAGAATGAAGGAGGGTGCAAATAGAAAGGAAAGGGAAAGGCTTCAAAGCTCACACTTCTCTTCTGGAAAATGGAGTAAGTGCCTCTTTGTCAAGATTAGTGAAAAAGTGAGATAACGTGCAAAGCACTTGCCAGGGCATAGCAGACTCTTTGTAAATTTCTGTGGACAAAATTAAAACATGAACGAGGAAAAAAATGGCGTTCACAGAAAAAATAAATTGGAAAGACAAGAAACCAGAGGCAGAAGGAAAGAAAAAAAAAATCTCTTATGAGACTTGATCATGTTCTAGGCCCCAGGTATACTCAGTGGTAATAAATAAATAAATAAATAAATAAATAAATAAATCCAAATATATTGCTGCACTCATAACTTTATAATCTAGAGGGGAGATAGGTCACCTTCTTAACCCCCAATTTAGGGTGCAGGCATTACCATTCTGAGAGTGTATTTATTTCCCATGGTCTTCAGGATAAATTTCCTTAATAGGCATTTGTATATTCAGGATAGGTAGATTATGCTGTGGTAACTAAACAAAACAAAAAAGCTCCCCAAATTTCAGTGGCTTACACTATTTTGTCACACAGGTAAATCTGTGTGGATTTGGGTCATGACCTCACCTGTTGGCCTTGTGTGTTATACCACTGTGTTCTATGCCTCCGTATATCATTGCCCATTTTTATTCTGCTCAAGTTGGTGATATTGGAACCCCAATCCAATTTTAGGATCTTTGCCAAGCCACCTCTGAGCCTTTGCACCTAACCTTCCCCATAGAGAAGACACTGCCAACCACTTCTGCCCTTGTCCTGCTGGCCAGGCTGATGGATCCTATGGTTCTGATGCAATGCACTACGTTGTGTTGTGGGGTTTAGAAAAATAGGAAGGAAAAAATGCTCACTAAATGCCCCTCAGGCCTCATCCTTTCCACCTGGGAAACAGGCAGAATAGTTCATGGCACCTTGGAGAGGAGAAGGACACTTCTTTCTGCCTCTGGGGAGAATAAAAACCAACCAGTTGGATTCTTTGCCTCTTCTGAAAGATAGTTTCTGCCCAAGGCAGCCCTAGGCTAGGCCTGTGAAGCAGAGGGAGAGAAGAAATTGGTCTTGAGGTTGGAAAGCCTCAGGCCCTGCAGCTACCTGTAAGCTCAAAGAGAAGCCAGCCACAGAGTTCAAATCAAAGAAGAAATGAAATCAACTCAACTGCCTGGTTCCCCCCAGGCAACTGGAGGATGAGTCAAGCTCCTTCTCTTTATTTTTTCCCCTCTTGGTGGTAGTGGTAGGGCTGGGTGTGGGTAAGCCCTATGGTTCCCTGCCTATGTGGATGAGTTTCACATCCTCTCACATCTACTTACCCCCTACACACACACACACACACACACACACACACACACACACACACACCTTGGCATTTCTCTCCTGGATTGCCTCTCTCTTCCAAGTTCAAGTTCAAGCATGGTCAGTCCCAGACTCCACAGGGGCCTTGCCCCACCAGCCCCTAACCAGAGCATAGGGCACATCTGTAGCCACATATTTCAATGTGATTCTCTCCTACTGTGGAAAAACTGATGCAGTTGTTGGTGAGGAGTCATTTTTGCTAATGAGGAATGAAAAAAAAAAAAAAAACAGCATCTGCAGCTGCACATGAATTTTACATAAACAAGGCACACACCATTTGGGACATACTTATACTGAAAAGGTATTTGTTATTTATCTGAAATTCAACACAGTGTCCTATATTTTATCTGGCACTTCCAGATTGGGTGCCATTTGGGGATGGGAGAGAATGGCAGCTAGGTTGGAAGGTTCCAGAAATAGCCTGTAGGCCTGCTAACCAGTTACAAAGCAGGGAAAAGAGAATATGATGCGAGACCCAGACAGACGATGGGAGCCACTGCAGGCTCTGATCAGGGAGGGGTCCTGTGCTTCTGGTCCCAAGGTTTATCTGACAAGCAGTGGAGGATAAGCTAATGGGGAAGCAGTGGTTCGGGAGGGCTGGCACGAGGCCCTGGGGTGGTGGACTCCACCTTCACACTCTGCTCCCTTGGATCTTGTTTCTTCTCCTTTTGTTCTTCTCAGTTCTGCCCCTCAAACACTCGCCCCTGGTTTCCACTCCCAGTTCTGACTTTCCCTTTTTCTCCTCTGCACCCCTTACCATCTGATTGGATGTCCCTGCTCCTTCTCCACAGCCAGATCAGCAGAGGGAAGAGGAGGAAAGTACTTAGTGTTTTTTCTTTCCTCCCTTCAAAGCCTCTTTGCCCTCAGAGAACCCAGCCAAGTGCAAATGTCCAGCTCTCCTAGGAGAAGCCTCACCTTCACACAGGAACCAGCCTGAGCAGGAGAGGCCTCCTGGCCCTCCCCTGGGAGTATGAGGCTGTTGTCCACCTGCTGTTCAGGCAGGACCCAAGTGCAGCCCAGGTCCTCCAGGCACAACACCTCCAACCCTGCCACCCCAAGGAGTGCTTCCTGAGGCCCACACCCACTTCTCCTGCTGCATTTGTTACATTTCCCTTGAGCTGAAGCCAAGGAAGAGATGGGAAAGACTGATCTTCCTACTGTAGGTCAATGGTTTTCAAACTTACTCGCAAACTAGGCACCCAGTGAATGAATTCGTGCACTTGAAAGAAACTCTGGGCCACGAGACTTCAGGGGGCACAGGAATGGGTCTCGGTCCGTCCTCCACACCCCTGTCTGACCCCTCCCACCACGGTCCTAGTCCCCTGTCTTCCAGCAGCCCTGGTCCCACCACCGCTCCCACTCACTGGCAGTGCTGGCCCCACTGGCACCCGTTGACAGCATGGAACCATTGGGGCTGGCACCAGCAGTGGGTGTGAGTGGGGCCAGCACCAGCAGTGGGTGCAAGTGGCAGCTGCTGCCCCGATCACCTCTCAGGAGCAAGGGGAGGTGGAGAAGCCCTCAGGTGCGATTGGGACTGGCAGTCGCCACTCACACCTGCTGACAGTGCCAAGCAATTGAATTTTCAGTAACCACCAGAGGCTTGTCTTGATGATAGTGACCAGTGCCCCACCTTGGTCTGGTGTCCCCCCTCACCTGCTCCACCATCCCACTGCAGCTGATGCCCGCCATGTTCTGCCCATGCTCCCTGGTGATCAGCACACTTCATAGAAACCAGTTCAGTTGTTTGGTTGTTTGATTATTCTGCCATTTGGTCTATTTGCATATTAGGGTATTATAGATATAGATAGATATAGATATAGATATAGATATAGATATAGATATAGATATAGATATAGAGATATAGAGATATATAGATTAGGCCACTGGGGTTGAGGGAAACTTGTGGCAACTCTGGGAACCTGTACCCAACTTTAGCCACACAAGCTCCACTTATCCATGCTTTATAAACACAGGTTCCTTGTGAGAAAAAAAAATTTTTTTTAAGGGATTCACTACTGAAAATATTACCCTCTATTCATTTGAAACACATAGATGGGTCTGCATGGTGATACTCTGCATAAAGTCTCCAAGAGTCCAGCTTTCCCAACTTTATATCATCTGACCCTTGCTCCCATAACTTTTATTCCCCTTCTGTCCATTCCCCCTGAGACATTATTTAATAATTTTTTTCCATCACCATTTATCCCCTCTATGCCCTTTTCCACCTTCCCAACCCATTCCCTGCTGCATCACCCTAAGACTTTAAATCTTGGCACTGACTGACCTTCTCTCTGAAGGTCTTTTTATCAGAATCCCCACAGAAGCTGCCTAATACTATGTTGGCTTGGATGACATGGCCCATTTTATAGATGAGTCACTGAGGTCCATGGGCAGCAGAACCTAAACAGAATACTGGGAGTCTGACTTTGGAGGCTGGCCTGGTGGCCTCCCACTGTGTCTTCAATCTGTTCTCCAGGCTC